GGGGATAAAGAAAGAGAAAAAGAAAGAAAAAGAGAAAGAGGAATTCATTTACATTTATAATGTTAAAGTTTCAAATGACAATATTCTGTTGCATTATATCGCATAATAATATGTGGTCTGAAAACGGATAAAACCGAGGCTAAAGAAAGTTGTACGAAAACGGGGTGGAGCAAAGCGAGTTGCCTTGCAGAAAGAGAGGGAATAAAAGGAGGGGGAGGGGGGAGGTCTGCTTAAAAAGAATGTGGGGGTCAATATATTGGGAGACCCAGTCACCCGTGAAAGGTGTTTGTAAAGACGTCTCCTCAGATTACCTAGATAGATGTTTGAGCCCAACACACGGAACTTTTCTTTTATCGTAGGTCAAAACCTTGTCTTGTCGAGGTGCCTTATTAGAGCAGTGTCAATGGCCGAGTTGTGTAACTTGTTCATGATTGTTTGGGGTGCAGGTTTTATGCAGGGCTGCAGCTGTCTCTCTCTCTCTCTCTCTCTCTCTCTCTCTCTCTCTCTCTCTCTCTCTCTCTCTCTCTCTCTCTCCCCCTCTCTCTCTCTCTGATATTTTTCTTTTTAAATTAAAAAAAAAATAAAAAAATAAATGTATATATACATATAAAATAATAAAATATAAATTCTTGATGCTCTGGTCTGGGCTGCAGCCAACGTGTAAAGCAATAGCGCTTTGCATAATGCTGGCCTTGCTTTTATTTCATCTTTGTATTTTGGCTGCATTGTGCTTGTGGTAAAACGTTGGAGTCTTTTAGATTTAAGAAAAATGCTTTGCAACCCCTATCATTTCAGAAATCGTAGATGAATTCAAAGCAAAAAACCCCCAACACCCCCCCCCCCCCACAAAAATAACGAAAAGGAACAAAAGGAATACTTTCAGCACAACTGCTAACAACAACAACAACAACGACAAAAGCAGTTGTAGTTGCAGCAACAATGATAAAAACAACAACAACAATAGCAAAAACAACAACAGCAACAAATCGTCTTCATGAAAAACAACAGCAGCAACAATAGCAGCGGCGGCAACAACAACAAGGATAACAGCACGGCAATCAACAATGAATTCTACAACAACGACGACAACAACAACAACAGCACCATCAAAAACAACGACAACAACAACACATTTACCATATGAGTATTCAAGATTCGGGGCGAGGGGGCATCTTCTATGTCCGCTAACAAACGATTGGCCTCCAACATGGAAGCTTCCTTCTCTGTGCCCACCACCTTGGTCCGCCCGTCCAGCAGAAGTCTGCCCATCTCCCACACCCAGTGGCAGCCAGACTTGGTGTACGAGCACAGCAT